TCTCTTGGAGAGGAAAAAAAACGAAAAAAGAGGAAAAAAAAGGGGAACAAGGGCAAGGTTCAACAAGGAAGGGAATTGATATTAAATTACGAGACCCTTGCCATTTTTAAAGCTCAAGGTATGTTAAATTTAGTGTATATGGGAATTCTCCTTTTAATTGTGAAGAAGGATTTGTTTATGATTTATGCTTGATGATTTAGGGTTGTAATGGAGAATTGTTCATAATTTATGTTTGATTGAAGAGGATACTCATCAATTGGTTGCTTTGACATGAAATTTATACCTCAATCTTTGTTTCTCATGATAAACCCATGAAACTATATTTAAGTAATGTATGATGTTTTGATAAACATGAGGAACTTGAATTAAAGATAGAATTTAGAAGGTTTGTAACTTGAATAAGCTTCTATTCATGTGTATTTTATGATGCTCAAGTTCTAGTACATGCTATGGTGAAAGTTATACGTCAATCCTTGGTTTTTATGCCATAGTATAATGTGTTATGTTTTATGAACAAAAGGAAGTTAACTTAAAGGATGAAATTTGGAAGAATAGTGACTTGATCAAGCTTTTAATCATGTTACCTTGTGATATTTCAATGATAAATTATGTTATAGTTACGTTGGGTTCAAGTATTGCCTTAATTTCATCTTGGGTTGCATGAGAAATGAAGTGATGATGCTTAAAATTGAGTTGAAACCGAGCTGCCCCAAAACAGGACCATGGCCGCTCGAGCGGAGGCCTTGGGTGCTCGAGCGGAGAAAGAAGAAAAACCTGGAAATGCCTACTGTCTACGGCCGCTCGAGCGGAGGGGGATAACCGCACGTGCGGTGCTTGGCCGCTCGAGCGGAGGGTCCGGCCACACGTGCGGCCCGGGCTGGAAAAGTGGTTCGCTTAGTTTTGCGTGCTTGACTCACTGGTATTTTTGGAATATTTTCTGATGATTTTAAGAGGGTTGTAAATTCATGCAAAGTGTAATGATTCAGGAAATGATTTAAGAAAGAAAAGAGAACTAATGTGCAAGTTTTGCCTGTGTGCAGGACACACTCCGGGAGGAAGTAACACGTCATCTCAACACTGTGAGTAGTAGTACGCTTTACTATAGATAATGATTAGCATTTTGTTGATGATAACTATGCACCTGTACTTAATGTAAATGTATGATGATAAGAAGGTGAACATTTTGCCTACTCTCATGATTTCAAGGGCTATAATGCCAACATGTTTCAAGGGCCTCGTGCCATAAGTTTCAAGTATGTTTCAAGGGCCTCGTGCCATAAGTTTCAAGTATGTTTCAAGGGCCTCGTGCCATATGTTTCAAGGGCCTCGTGCCATCATGTTTCAAGGGCTTATAGCCATATGTTTATGTTGCAGAATTGGGCCTAAAGCCATTATGTACTTAGCACAGAATCAGACTAACCATGTGAACTCTGCATCTTTATATGTATTGATGTGTTTAATGTTTCAAGTTAAACATCGTTTATTATGTATTACTATTCACTGAGCCCGGCTCACTCTCTATTATGTCTGTTTCTGTAGGTCATCAATCAGGAGGTCAGTCATAGCCTTGACGCCGCTTTCTTTTGTCAACCTTTACGTGTCCAGGTACTATACAAGGCCATCCATTTTGTGAAGTGGTTAAGATGTTGGCTTGCTATTTAAGTGTCCATCTAAGGTTGATGTACATAACTTTTATGTTTTTTGTATATGCCCTATCATGGGGCTAGGACTGTAAGGGTAGGTGTACGTAACCCTTATCCAGGGGTATAGTTTTAAACTTTATCTGACTTTGATGATGTATGTGATGTTGAGATCCTAGCATATTAGAAATAGCTCAATGGAGTATGCTTGTATCTATGTTATGTTAGTATTTTAAGCTTCCGATAAGGCCCCGTAGTGTATGTATACCAGGTTACATGTCCGTTTCTGAATAGGTCATGCCCAATTCTGAATAGGTCATGCCCAAACTTTTAGGGGTAGGTTTGGGGCGTGACAAGTGGTATCAGAGTACGAGTTGCTATCTCATACACGGAACCATTGAGCTGTAGGGTGTCTAGAAAAGATTTAGGCATCATGTATGACATCCTAAAAATATAAGAAAAGTTTGATGGCAACATTAAGTGTACTCTGATAATGTTAACAATTTTGGACTATGTCTATTGTATATAATTGATTGTTGTGTAGATCATGGTGAGAACAAGGGCAGAGGAGCAGGAAGATGCTACTACCGCACGGTTGGACAGGATGGAGAGAATGATTGTAATGACCCCAAAAGTCATCCTTATTTAATTAGGGGTTAATGTGTTTTAATTCAACTATATCTATTGGAATTGAGAATGTTTTTATCTTATTTTGGGGTATTGATTGAGGTGGTGGTATGATGGTAAAGTAAGATTGGACCAAAGAATATAATCCGAATAGTTATTCTACGATCAACCGTCACTCATTTGCCCTTTTCTTTTTCTACACTTTGAATTTAAATGTGAGGTTAGAACCATTGGAAAGCTTATTTCCGGGGCTTCAATTTGGACACAAGAACGACCTAGAACGGAGTCCCGATGAGAGAGTTATACCCGTTTGAAGTTTTTACATCTGTGCTGGAAGCAGAGCCGCACGTGCGGGGAATAGTGCCGCACGTGCGGGCTGTGCGGGACAGTAGCTCAAAAACGAGATTTTTTGCTCATTTCTTACATTTTCTTTTCCTCTCTTCTTCTCCCCTCTTCCATGTCCGAAACCCTAGCCCCCAAAACCTTGATTTCCTCCACTTTTATCAACAAATCCACCATGGATCTTGCATCAAGGATGGAGAACAAGAAAGGCTCAACATTTCCAACCGATTGAAATTCGAATTTTTGGAGGATTCTTCTCAATATTTGCTCCTTTGCTTGATTCTTAAGGGTCATCTACAGGGGCGGATCAAGCATCGGAACGCTGTGAGTTGTAGTATTTTGATGTACCTTTAACCATATATCGTTATTGATGTTAAATCTTCGTCGTAAGAATTATGCTGACATATATGTTGTGTATGCTACGTGAGAAACACTGTGACATTATGGAAAACTTCAAAAGAATTTGTGAAGTTATGTGAGAAATATTATGAAATTATGAAAACATCAAAAGAACTTGTGAAATATGAAGTTATGTGACCAAGGGCCATTTGTGAAGATCAAACCTATGTGGCCAAGGGCCGACTTGTGACTTATGAAGCTATGAGGCCAAGGGCCGAATTTGTGAACTTGTGAATCCAAAGGGCCGAAGGCCGATGTGATAAGCTGTGAATCTATGAAACCCAAAGGCTATTGTGAATGTGTGAACCCCTCAGGCCAAGGGCCGAACTGTGAAATTGTGAAACCAATAAAGTTATCTGTAATCTAATGAAAATGTGCTTACTTTTCATTACTACTTATTAGGAATGTCCTGTTAACTTTACGTTAATTATGTCAACTCATGGGAATGGTGTAACGGTTACCATTAGAACTCTGTTAATTACAAGGCAAAGCAACTATGTTAACATATAAGAATGATTAAACAAAGGTGTATGCTATTGATTAATAGAGCACGTAAAGTAAGTCATTTATCCAAAAAAATTTATGTTCATTCTTGAAGAATGGATTCTGAGTAAATATAAGAGTAGCTATGTGTATCCATATGAATTGAAGTTATTTTGCTATGTTGCTTATAACTTGGAAGTTATTCAGAATCTACGATATAAGTGCAAAGTTTAGCATCATTGTGTGACCCTCATAAGGATGTGAATTAGTCTCTCATTGTCTCTCATTGTTAAGCGTATGATAATGACATGATACAATAAGAAATGCTCTAGTCATGATATATTCCGTTTGAATTAATGAATGATGTTCAAGTATGTTTCAGGCATGTTTCCAGTATGTTACAAGTTCAAGTATGTTCAGGTATGTTTCAAGGATATGTTACAAGTTTAAATATGCTACAAGGGCAAATATGTTACAAGGGCTTTATGCCACATGTTTCAAGGGCCTTAGTGCCATATGTTACGAGGGCTTTATGCCACATGTTTCAAGGGCCTTAGTGTTGTATGTTACGAGGGCTTTATGCACATGTTTCAAGGGCCTTAGTGCCATATGTTACAAGGGCTTTATGCCACAAGTTTCAAGGGCCTCGTGCCACCATGTTTCAAGGGCCTCGTGCCACCATGTTTCAAGGGCTTATAGCCACCATGTTTATGTTGCAAGATTGAACCTAAGGCCGTTATGTACTTAGCACAGAATCAGACTAACTATGTAAACTCTACATCTTTATATGCATTGCTATGTGTTATGTTTCAAGTTAAGCATCGTTTTATTTATGTATTACTATTCACGGAGCCCAGCTCACTCTCTGTTATGTCTGTTTCTGTAGGTCACCAATTAGGTGATCAGTCCCAGCCGTGACGCCGCTTTCTTTTGTTAACCTTCGTATGACCAGGCACTATACACAACCATTGATTTTATTAAGCTGATAAGATGTTGGCTCGCTTTTTGAATGTCTATCTAAGAGTGATGTATATAGCTTTCGTGTTTTTGTATATGCCCAATGATAGGGCTGGGTCTGTATATATGTATGTATATATCCGATGTTCAGGTATATGTTTTAGATTTTATTTGTTTGTTAAAAGTTATGATCTTGGCATGATAGTAGTAGCTCAATGGAGTTTGTTTCCAGTGTCAAATTTTGATATTTAGTGCTTCCGTTCAGGCCCCACATATATAGATATAAAACAGGTTAAGTGTCCGTTTCTGAAGTGGTCATGCCCAAACTTCTAGGGGCGGGTTAGGGGCGTGACAATGATTATGGAAATGGCGGAGACCTTACGGGAACAACAGCAACAGCCACAACAACGGCAACAACCACAAGAATAACCGCCATCGCCACCGGTACCTCCACCGGTAGTACCAAAGTTCCATGCTGAAGACCGAACTATCACTCTCACTAAGGAGTTTAAAAAGATGAAACCACCATCTTTCAAATGAGGGATAGAACCGATGAAAGCTGAGGCCTGGGTGCTGGGCATAGAGAAGTTATTCGAAGTCTTTCCTTGCACCGAAGCTCAAAAGGTGCAACTAGCTGCCTTCACTCTTGAGGACGAGGCACGGAGGTGGTGGATGCTTACGAGAACAATCCATCCAGGGTTAACATGGGACATATTTCTGGAGTTGTTTTATGATAAATACTTCCCTCAAAGCATGCGAGATAAAAAGGTGACTGAATTTGAAACTCTCAGACAAGGGAACAAGACTGTTGCTGAATATGAGGCCCAATTTGCAGAGCTAGCCCGGTTTGCACCGCACATGGTGGACACGGACTATAAGAAGGCACGAAAATTTGAAGGGGGCTTACAGGGTGCTATCCAAGACCGAGTTAATATGTTAAAGTTGCCTACTTATGTAGATGTGCTGGAGAGGGCTGTTATAGCTGAGGAAAACCTTGCTGCTTAGAACCGGATTTCCGAGTGGAAAGGAAAGAGGCAAAATAATCAATGGTCAAAGGGAGCGACTACTCCACCAAACAAGAAACAAAACTCAGGGCCTTCAAATACTTCTGCCCCTAGTTAGGGTACGATTCCTGTTTGCTCGGAATGTGGAAGGAGGCATTGTGGGACGTGCCATTGGAAGTCTAGAGCCTGTTATCAGTGTGGCAAAACGGGTCATTTGATAAAGGATTGCCCTCAGAGGAATCAACGAAATGGCAATAGGGCTGCTACTAGTTCAGTGGAATCTACACCAACTACTAACACCAAGACACTGGTCAAACCTAACAACAATAAAGACACTGCGAGGCAAGGCAAGGTGTTTGCATTGGTTCCGGGAGATGTGCAAAATGTAGCAACAGTGGTGTCAGGTACATTTATGGTTCACGGTCATTCTGCTTTTGTCTTATTTGATTCTGGTTCTACCCATTCTTTTGTGTCAAAACTATTTGCTCCTAATTTAGATAAACCAGAAGAAGTATTATCTTATATATTGTGTGTGTCCTCACCCTTGGGGGATTCTATGATCTGTACCTCTGTATATGTTGCTTGTGAACTCCACCTTGGGGATATTCAGGTATATGCCAATCTGTTACCTCTCGATATGATGTATTTTGATATTGTACTGGGAATAGACTGGCTGAGTGAACATGGTGCAACTATAAATTGTTTGACAAAGCAAGTTAATTTCCATCCTCCGGGTCAAGCAGAATCTACATTTCAAGGACAGGAGGTGACTTCCTCACCGTATTTGATTTCTACGGCAAGGGCTTGTAGGTTAATTCAGAAAGGGTGCCAAGGATATTTGTGCAGTGTCTTGGAAGAGCAAATAATGAATGAGGGTACTGACGTAATTCTAGTTGTTCGTGAATTTTCGGACGTTTTTCCAGAAGAGTTACCAGGGCAATTGATAAACCGGGAAATTGAATTTACAATTGAAGTGGCACCGGGAACTCAACCCATTTCGAAGACTCCGTATAGAATGTCACCAGTTAAGATGAAGGAATTGAAAATGCAGTTGCAAGAGTTACTGGACAAAGGATTTATCCGTCCGAGTGTGTCTCCGCGGGGTGCACCAGTTCTGTTTGTAAAGGAGAAGGATGGAACACTCCGGCTTTGTATCGATTACAGGGAACTTAATAAAGTTACAATCAAGAATAAGTATCCATTGCCAAGAATCGATGACCTATTTGATCAGCTTCAAGGGGCACAAGTCTTTTCCAAGATTGATCTACGGTCTGGATACCATCAATTAAAGGTCAAGGTTGATGATGTTGAGAAGACAGCTTTTCGAACCCGGTACAGTCATTATGAATTTTTGGTTATGCCCTTCGGAGTCACAAACGCCCCAGCAGCTTTTATGGATTTGATGAACCGTGTTTTCAAGCCCTATTTGGATGAATTTGTGGTGGTCTTTATCGACGATATTCTCATTTATTCAAAGAATGTAGAAGCTCATGAGAACCATCTTCGCTTAATCCTTCAAACCCTCCAGGAGAAGAAACTGTATGCAAAGCTGAAGAAATGTGAATTCTGGCTACGAGAAGTGGCATTTTTGGGGCACATTATTACAAAGGAAGGAGTTTCCGTCGACCCACACAAGATTGAGGCAATTGTGAAATGGCCAACTCCTACTAATGTGACTGAGGTGCGTAGTTTTATGGGGTTAGCTGGCTATTACAGGAGATTTGTTCAAGATTTTTCTAAAATTGCTGTGCCACTTACACAACTGACTCGAAAGGGAGTTGCATTCGAATGGTCAGAAGAGCGGGAATCTGCCTTCCAGGAATTGAAGACAAGGTTGACAACAGCACCAGTTTTGGCTTTGCCACCCGGTACAGAAGGATTTGTAATCTACAGTGATGCTTCGCATAAAGGGCTTGGTTGTGTACTTATGCAAAATGGAAGAGTCATCGTTTATGCTTCTCGGCAGCTGAAACCCCATGAGAAGAATTATCCTACGCATGATCTAGAGCTAGCTGCAGTAGTCTTTGCTTTAAAAATATGGAGACACTATTTGTATGGCACTACCTGCGAAGTATATACTGACCACAAGAGTCTCAAGTACCTTTTTACTCAAAAAGAGTTGAATATGCGGCAGCGACGGTGGTTGGAACTTCTTAAAGATTATGATTTGCAGATTCATTACCATCCTGGTAAAGCCAACACAGTTGCAGATGCGCTCAGTCGGAAAAGTATGGGGACTATGGCAAGTATGGTTACAGGGCAAAAGAAATTGGCAATTGAATTGGGTAAGATTGAATTAGACTTTGTGTTACATGGCCAAGAAGCTTTAATGGCAGTAGTGATGGCCCAACCAACCTTACTTGAGGAAATTAAATTGCATCAAATAGAGGATGAAGCTCTAAGGAAGATATGTGATGAGTTGGGAACTAAGCCGAACTCGGGATTCAGTTTAGTAGATGCGGTACTCAAATTTCAAAACCGAGTATGTGTCCCCAATGTGTTGAACCTTAAGCAAAAACTGATGGAAGATGCACATACCTCAAGGTTTTCAATGCATCCAGGGAGTACTTAAATGTACCGAGATTTGAAGCAAAATTTTTGGTGGCCAAGTATGAAGAAGGAGATCGCAGAGTTTGTCTCTAAGTGTTTGCAATGTCAGCAAGTAAAAGCGGAGCATCAAAGACCTGCCGGTTTGTTGCAACCTCTTCCCATCCCGGAATGGAAATGGGAACATTTAACCATGGATTTTGTTGTAGGGTTACCGCGGACTCCTCGGGGTATGAATTCGATATGGGTCATTGTGGACCGATTAATTAAGTCCGCTCACTTCATACCAGTAAAGACTCAGTATAATGCAGATAAATTGGCGATAATTTATGTGAATGAAATTGTGAGGCTTCATGGTGTTCCGGTCTCCATTGTGTTAGATAGGGATCCTAAGTTTGTTTCCAGATTCTGGCAGAGTTTACAAGAAGCAATGGGTACAGAATTAAGGTTCAGCACAGCTTTCCACCCTCAGACCGACGGTCAATCCGAGAGAACGATACAAACTCTTGAGGATATGCTCCGAATGTGTGTGCTAGAGTTTCGAGAAAGTTGGGAAACTCATCTACCGTTGGTAGAATTTGCGTACAATAATAACTACCATTCGAGTATAGACATGGCACCCTATGAAGCTTTATATGGAAGACCATGTCGTTCTCCCGTGTGTTGGGCTGAAGTTGGAGATAAATCCTTGTTAGGGCCTGAAATTATTCAATTGACAACTGAAAAAGTTAAAGTTATTCGGGAAAGATTGAGAACTGCTCAAAGTAGATAGAAAAGTTATGCGGATAACCGATGGAAAGATTTGGAATTTGAAGTGGATAGTCATGTCTTTGTGAAAGTTACTCTGATGAAAGGACATTCAAGATTTGGAAAGAGAGGTAAGTTGACACCCCGGCATATTGGTCCCTTTCAGATTCTAGAAAGAGTGGGTCCGGTAGCTTACCGAGTTGTCCTTCCACCACATATGAGTCAAGTACATAATGTGTTTCATGTCTCTATGCTTCGCAGATACCTTCCGGATCCGTCACATGTCATTGATTACCACCAAATTGAGTTGGACGACAAGCTAATTTACGAGGAAAAACCAATCCGCATTTTGGACCGACAAGTGAAACAATTACGATACCAAGAAATTCTAATGGTCAAAGTTGAGTGGCAAGAACATTACGGAACCGACACAACTTGGGAAAAAGAAGAGGACATGCAACACCAATACCCACATTTGTTTTTGCCTTAAGGTACAACAAGTTTGGAGGACCAAACTTATTTAAAGGGGGGAGAGTGTAAGAACCCGACCCTCGCACATGATTTCTGATATATTCTCAGTCCTTGATTGGTACTTTTAAATGCTTACTGTAAACTTCCATGAAAAATTACGGTTAAGTAAGTGAAATCCATGTTTATGAATGCCTATCTGTTGCATAAGAAAACTATCTGTTACCATTAGCACGTTTGAATTAGAAATTGGAAGCCTTAACGGCTGAATTATCTGAAATTGATTATATATCTGTGATTAGCATAATTTTTACGTAATATTAAGCATGTTTACAAAATTTCAATTTCGGAATGATTAAATGATGGAATTTTGTCTTATATGCCTTTGTATATATATCAAAGTCCAAGTTCTCTTAAGCTTGATCAAAAACAATTTAACATATCTCCTGGAGAGGAAAAAAAATGAAAAAAAGAGGAAAAAAGGGGAACAAGGGCAAGGTTCAACAAGGAAGAGAATTGAGATTAAATTAGGAGATCCTTGCCATTTTTAAAGCTCAAGGTATGTTAAATTTAGTGTATATGGGAATTCTCCTTTTAATTGTGAAGAAGGATTTGTTTATGATTTATGTTTGATGATTTAGGGTTGTAATGGAGAGTTGTTCATAATTTATGTTTGATTGAAGAGGATACTCATCAATTGGTTGCTTTGACATGAAATTTATACCTCAATCTTTGTTTCTCATGATAAACCCATGAAACTATATTTAAGTAATGTATGATGTTTTGATAAACATGAGGAACTTGAATTAAAGATAGAATTTAGAAGGTTTGTAACTTGAATAAGCTTCTATTCATGTGTATTTTATGATGCTCAAGTTCTAGTACATGCTATGGTGAAATTTATACGTCAATCCTTGGTTTTTATGCCATAGTATAATGTGTTATGTTTTATGAACAAAAGGAAGTTAACTTAAAGGATGAAATTTGGAAGAATAGTGACTTGATCAAGCTTTTAATCATGTTACCTTGTGATATTTCAATGATAAATTATGTTATAGTGAAGTTGGGTTCAAGTATTGCCTTAATTTCATCTTGGGTTGCATGAGAAATGAAGTGATGATGCTTAAAATTGAGTTGAAACCGAGCTGCCCCAAAACAGGGCCATGGCCGCTCGAGCGGAGGCCTTGGGTGCTCGAGCGAAGAAAGAAGAAAAACCTGGAAATGCCTACTGTCTACGGCCGCTCGAGCGGAGGGGGATGAACGCACGTGCGGTGCTTGGCCGCTCGAGCGAAGGGTCCGGCCGCACGTGCGGCCCAGGCTGGAAAAGTGGCTCGCTTAGTTTTGCGTGCTTGACTCACTGGTATTTTTAGAATATTTTCTGATGATTTTAAGAGGGTTGTAAATTCATGCAAAGTGTAATGATTCAGGAAATGATTTAAGAAAGAAAAGAGAACTAATGTGCAAGTTTTGCGTGTGTGCAGGACACACTCCGGGAGGAAGTAACACGTCATCTCAACACTGTGAGTAGTAGTACGCTTTACTACAGATAATGATTGCCTTTAGCATTTTGTTGATGATAATTATGCACCTGTACTTAATGTAAATGTATGATGATAAGAAGGTGAACATTTTGCCTACCTCATGATTCCAAGGGCTGTAATGCCAACATGTTTCAAGGGCCTCGTGCCATAAGTTTCAAGTATGTTTCAAGGGCCTTGTGCCATAAGTTTCAAGTATGTTTCAAGGGCCTCGTGCCATATGTTCCAAGGGCCTCGTGCCATAAGTTTCAAGTATGTTTCAAGGGCCTCGTGGCACATGTTTCAAGGGCCTCGTGCCATCACGTTTCAAGGGCTCATAGCCATATGTTTATGTTGCAGGATTGGGCCTAAGGCCGTTATGTACTTAGCACAGAATCAGACTAACCATGTGAACTCTGCATCTTTATATGTATTGATGTGTTTTATGTTTCAAGTTAAACATCGTTTATTATGTATTACTATTCACTGAGCCCGGCTTACTCTCTATTATGTCTGTTTCTGTAGGTCATCAATCAGGAGGTCAGTCATAGCCTTGACGCCGCTTTCTTTTGTCAACCTTTACGTATCCAGGCACTATACAAGGCCATCCATTTTGTGAAGTGGTTAAGATGTTGGCTTGCTATTTAAGTGTCCATCTAAGGTTGATGTACATAACTTTTATGTTTTTTGTATACGCCCTATCATGGGGCTAGGACTGTAAGGATAGGTGTACGTAACCGTTATCCAGGGGTATAGTTTTAAACTTTATCTGACTTTGATGATGTATGTGATGTTGAGATCCTGGCATATTAGAAATAGCTCAATGGAGTATGCTTGTATCTATGTTATGTTAGTATTTTAAGCTTCCGATAAGGCCCTGTAGTTTATGTATACCAGGTTACATGTCCGTTTCTGAATAGGTCATGCCCAAACTTTTAAGGGCAGGTTTGGGGCGTGACAGGTCGACCCTCCGGTCGACCACTACAGTTTCTTCTTTAACTCCATTTTCATTTTTTTCCTGAATCCATTTACATCATGTTCTCTTTCTCAATTCTCATCTCTGATCCACTCTTCCTACCAAACCTCTCAAACTTCTTGATCTTTCTCTTTTTCTCTCTTAATTTCTGATCCATTAAGTTTCTTTCTCTCTCTCTGATCATCACTCAATTTCTGATCTATAGTTGTTCAATCTTTTCAATTCTTCAATCTTCCAATCTTCTTGATTAACAATTAAATCATGTAAAGATATATAATTTGTATATATAAGTATTCTGAAAAATTCTCACTGTGGATATTAATTTGCAATTCCTCAATCTTTCAAAAATGAAGGAAATAAAATTAAAAAAAAAATTCTCTTGTCGGTTGATTTTTCAGAGGTCCTGTGATTTGATGAAAGTTCCGTTGAAATATCTGATATCAAATAGAGAAATTAGTCATATTTTCTCTCAAATTTAATGAAATATTTAGGGATTGTTTGGAATGACCTAAATAAGTGCACTTTTGTCTTTTTACGAAAAGATGTATAAAAAAATAAAAAAATAATATGATAAAAAAAAATAAAAAGTGCGTACTTATTTTGACTAGACAAATTTGACCTTAGTAAGAGATGCCCTAATAAAACTACAAGTAAATACCACACACGTAGGATATGGGCGGCGCGTGTGATAATTTTTTTTTGCTCTTCACGGCTAGTTAGGGGTGTTCGCGGATCGGTTTTGTGCGGTTTGCGGTTCGGTTTTGACCCGCCCGCATTTATGCGGTTTGGGAAAAAGTCAACCCGCAACCGCCCGCAGTGCGGTTTGCGGTTTGTGCGGATAGGGTTTGCAAATGTGCGGGCGGTTGCGAGCGGTTTGCGGTTTACACTTTTTTCTTTAAAAATTAATTTTCGAGTTTTTTTTTTTCCAGCGAATTTAGGCATCAAATTCTTTTTATATATTTGTGATAACAATTTTTTGATGAGTTTACAAATAAAAATTGAATATCAATGCATTAAATGAAAGTACCCAAAACAAAGAGACCCTGCACTAGTATTTTTGCTATGAAAAAAATGTATATCAATGCATTAAAGGTTGTACTCAATTAGAATTGCCAGTTCAGTAATCAATAATCAAACTATAAGTTCTATCGACCATTAGAAGAAAAATTTTATTAGGAAAAAGTGGATGAATCACCAATGAAAATTATATAAGAAACCAAGTTTAGGACTTGATAATTCTACGGCATTAAGAAAGTTGAGAAATACTTAAAAATAAGGATCCTAGTGTCATAGAGAATATAATGGTGCTCCTGTAAAAGTTACAAAGTTGGTATATAAAAAAAAATAATAATAATAATTAAAGTGCGGGCGGTTTTTACGGTTTGCGGGTTTAAACCGCGACCCGCCCGCAACCCGCAAATTTGTCATATTTCAAACCGCATCCGCCCACATTATGTTTGCGAAACCGCCCACTTATATGCGGGTTGGGCGGATTGGGCGGTTTGAGCGGTTCGGATAAACCGTTGCCCACCCCTACGGCTAGTAGTATAAGAGGAGGTACTCTTATTATGTGTCTGTGAAATACGAGGAAGGCGATGAAGATGATGATGATAAGCTCAAGTACGACCAAGATGGTGTCAATGGCGACCCGAGACTACTTCTACTTTCTATCCTCCATCACCACCACCACCACCACCACCACCACTTCCTCTCTCACCCACTTCCGCCCTCTAACCTGCGCCGCCACTCCCACGTCCTCATCTTCTTCTCCTGCTCCTCGGCTGGTGCCACACCCACCTGACCTCATCAATTGGGTCAGAAGAGAAGGGGGTTTTGTGCACCAGGCTGTGAAGATATCACAGGTTGATCTCTACGGTCTTGGGTTAGTGGCCTCTGAAGAAATCCCAAAAGGGTCTGACCTGATTGCCCTCCCTGACCACATACCCTTGCAGTTTGGGTCCCTTGAATTGGACGGCGGAGATGCTGCTCATTCTGTATTGGTCAATTTGGCCCGTCAAGTTCCTGGTATGAGTTTTCACTATCCTGCATTCAAATAGTTCAAGTTTTATGGTTTAGTTGTTTTGAATGATTTTGGTTAATGGGGGTTGTGCATTTGTGAGTATGGAGCAATTGGGTTGGTTTTACACTCTGTTTTGGGAATTTAGGTGAGAAAAGAAAAGAAAAAATTATTAGTTAGGAGAGAAAATAAGAGAAAATTGAATGATTTTTCTTCTCTCTGGCTTGGTTAAAAGTGAGAAAATAAGAGAGAAATTATTCTATGTTATATTTCTTAAGTAATCTTTTATAGATGTTAGGTTTGTTATATTTTTAGTATTACGAAAATTGTAGTATGTTGGTTTCTTTTTTCTCTCCATTTATTCAAAATGAGGGTTTTAAGAGAAATTGGATTCTTCCAATTGCTTATCATTTCTGTCATGTTTACTAATTGTGAACAGATGATATGAAGTAAGAGAAATGCATTTCTTTCTTTTCGAGTCACTCAATCCAAACTTTCGAATGGCTGGTTTTATGGGTATATTCATGGTCTCTATATTGGGTTTTCTTCTTTCAGCCCCATTATGCTTATTAGGTCAAGTGTTCAATGCATATTCTGCATACTCTTCACGCAAGAGGTTGTCAAGTTAGTTTGGTTCTGTGACACATCTTTTACCATAATTTGATTAGCAGTTATATTGTGTTGTTACTATAATAAGAATTAGTTAGTTTATTTGTGGAATACGTAGTGTTTTTGAGAAAATTTGGCAGTCGATATTAGACATCGTTGTTATATAAACTAACTTTAATAGATTTGTGGAAAAGACTTCATGCTGTGGAGTAATTTGGTTAAAAGAATGGGTGCATTTGTCATTGAGTGTGATTTATACTTCTGTTCAATAATTTTGGCCTCGTTTGGGAATTGGCTATTTTAGTTGGCTTTTTATGAAAAGATGTGCAGAAAAGTAGAGAAAATGATGTGACAATTTATTTTGACTTTTGTTCAGTATCATTCCTTCACATTGTGTGTTTAATTTGATGGATTTCTTTCTCTTCTTCTTTTTTTTTTTTTTTTCCTTTTCATTTTGTTGGTATTTTGAACAACTTATACCGACTTTTGTTCAGCAGCATTCCCAGCTCCTTTTGTGTTGTCAACTAAAATGATAGTATTATTTTTCCAAGGTTTGTTACTTAGAACATTTCTTGTCAAAAAAATTTCCCAGAAAAATTCCTTGAAGGTGCAAACTAATATTTTTTTCATGAAGTTATGAGAAGAGACATTATTGATATCCCCCAAGCATCATGGCAAAGCATTCTTGTAGATAATTACATGTTTGAAGAAAAAAGGCTAAGAAAATTTATTAGTAACTATTTACTAAAGATGAACAAAAGGTAAAAAATGAATTTATGGTGTGCAGTAATAGTTTTTCCTGTAATTAGCTGAAGTGAAGAAGAGATACGAATACTATTTGCTAAACTGTCATGGAATGGTCATAGAGCTAAATGGAGTCTATGAGAAAAATGTCAACAAGAAAATAGGTTGTAGATTGCTCACACTAGAAAGTCAAATTTCCATTCATCTGAAATAGTGTAAAAGAAATTGAATTTTGATGAATATATATGTCATCATGAGATGGGAATGAGAATGCAATTTTTTGTTTGATTTATTTCTCTGTGTGTGTGTGCGTGGATGTTGTTTCGCTGCAATTATGTCTCAAACACTTTCATCAGAATAAGGAACACCCACAATACCTGCTGCATGAACATAAAGGATACACAATGTCACACTTGAGCGTTAAAAAGCTTCTTTTTTTGTGTGTATGTGTTTGTTTCACAAAAACAGAATACTGAGGCATTTTCATGATCAGTGTGAAAACCAAACTCATGTATGTTTGTGTAGGTTTTCTTTTTCTTTGTATAGGTCAGTAACTCTAGTTTCCATAAATTAGGCTAGATTGTGTTTTGAATATAAGGGGTAAACTGGACACTTGGAGCATTTGGCAGAGGAGCTGTGGGCTATGAGACTTGGTTTGAAGCTGCTGCAAGAAAGAGCAAAGTCAGGTTCCTTCTGGTGGCCGTACATCAGTAACCTTCCAGAAACCTACAGCATACCCATTTTCTTTCCCAGAGAGGATATAAAGAACTTACAGTATGCTCCTCTTCTTTATCAGGTATCCGCATTTCCAGGTTAGGGCTGAGATTTCTTGCTTAACTAAATTATTTTAACTGCTTGAAAAAAGGAGAAATGCTAAAACTCACAATTTAAATCCCCAAATTCACCCACAATGACATGGCAAGGGATTTGGGCCTTATAGGGTTGAGTTTGTGACCATGCGGTGCACTAACTTGATTTTTATTTCTTAAAACAGTGGGACCCATGCATTTGTGTTGGTTTTTGGGAGACAGCATGACAAGTGTCATCAGGTGAATGGTGTGAAGCATTGCTTCAAGACCACCAAATAACCTTTCCAAATTAGGGGAGGCTTTTTAGGGTCTCAGACATTTTCCTTGAAAAAGTAAAAAAGTTTTCTTTGGTAAACAAGAAGGAGAAACCTTTATTCTTGTGTTGTGTATCCTTCATGGTTTGTGTTTTATCTTTACCAACCATAGTTGTCAATGAGAATCGTATCGTGAACTAAAATCCTAATTTTGAGAATCATGAATCAAAATAAATCAAGAATCGTAAGATTCGGTACAAACTACAGAAAAGATGATATTGAACAATCATATATGTGAAATAAGAAAAATTGATTTTGGCACATGTTATACAAGAGTTTTTATATCATGACACAACTATGCTGCCTAATGGAGAATACATTGTCTTCATACCAAAAGATTTACCTGATTCATATAGAGGGGTTGCTTTGTGTGGGTCGCGGGATTATTTGCGGTTTACCCAGATACCCAATTATCAGAAGAAAAAAAATAAAAAAATAAAAAAAGAAGAAGAAAGATGTGGGTCCAAATCTCAACAACCATAAATTATTTACAAACTACAATATATTTCTTTTTGACATTCAAAACATAGACCTACAAACCCTAAATAGAGTAGAATAAGAAGAAAATGTAAATGGGATCCCTTTATTTTAAAATGTATTACACTTCCACTTTTTATCTATTTATTTATTTTATGCTTATTGTTAAAAGAAAAGAAAAAGAACTTGTGGCACTGATGAGTTTGACTGATCTGATGTATGTTATATTAAACCATATTTGTTTCGCCAAATTAACAATAGATAACTCATGGGTGCAAGTTACTTTAGCGTTAAACATCATTCAAAGATGTATTTTGATATTTTTTTTAAAACCAAAAAAAAAAAAAAAAATCAAAACATAACAAAACAAAACAAAACAAAGAAAAAAAAAGAGAGAAAAAACCTATTGGGCTTGAATGGATTTGATTGGAACCTATTGAACACTCTAATAATGAAAGTAACAACAAAGCATGCTTAGGTATTGGTTATATTTGTAATAAACACTCTTAAAAGTTATATTCTAACATTTTCAAGAAAAGAAAAAAGAGATAAAAAGGGTTGGAAACTGTCAGGCCTGATAGTTTTAAAAGTTACATGAATCGCAAAATGTAAATCGAATCATGAATCATGCAATTCATCTATATCAAAATAGATACACCTATAGATTCACATTAGTCTATATTTGAATTGTGAATTGTAAGATTATGATCTATGAAGCACCAACACTTCAAAAAAGTGTCATAGCCGTGTCGAACACATGGACACAACAGGGATATACGGACACGGCGTGCCTCTTTATTTAATTGATTTTATTTTCAGGAGACACGCTGAGGACACTTCGGGGACACACTAGAGATATGTCAACTTGACTTTTCTCCCATTTTTTTTAGTGCTTTTGATGAATGTTAAATATTGAATGTTTATTATTTTTTCTTAGATTTAAATACTTGATAAATCATTCATAAAATATATATATATTGTAAGTATTAATTTAAAAGTGTTTTTTTTTTTTTTCTTTCTTTTTTCTAAATATAGAATTAGAGCAAGTTTTTGTTAATATTGATTGTTTGTAGAGGTAATATTAATCTAAATAGCAAATAAAAATACATTTTATTGTCATGTCCCCGCTGTATCCGTGTCCGTGTCCGTATTTGCATTCTTTTGAAATCGCATGTTCCTTGTTCGCATCCATATCCGTGTCCGTGCTTCTTAGATTATTATAACTGGGTAACCAACAACACCTGCAATTGACAACACCTGCAATTGGCATCTAGAATGTCGTCTTGTGCTTGGGTTTCTCTGAATGTGCCAGCTCAATTGTACATGATTTTGAGCCAAAGCGTAGTCTCCCAAAGTACCCTTCAATTTTTATGGTGACATTTGACGATAGTTATTATTTCCTTACACCAGGTAAACAAGAGATGCCGCTTTCTGCTTGAATTTGAGAAAGAAATCAAACAAGCACTTGAAAATTTGAAACCAGAGGATCATCCTTTTGGAGGCCAAGACGTAGATTCCTCCTCCTTAGGATGGGCAATGTCTGCAGTCTCATCCCGGGCATTCCGCTTGTATGGAAAGGAACTCCCAGGTGGAACCCACATCAATGTACCCATGATGCTTCCACTCATTGATATGTGCAATCACAGTTTCAGTCCGAATGCCAAAATTGTACAGGAAAGAAATACCGGGAACCCAAAGATGCTAGTAAAGGCAAGTTCCTCGCTCTCTCTCTCTCTCTCTCTGTCTCTTGAATATCAAGTATTTTTCATTTGGCTGAACATCAAAACAAATACTCGTGCTTCTTTTACTTCTAGTCTACTACTACTACTCATATTAATCAATTTGATTTCTTTACCAGGTTGTGGCGGGAACACAGATCAAACAAGATGAACCTTTAGTACTTAACTATGGTTGTTTGAATAACGATTTTTTCCTTTTAGATTATGGTTTTGTCGTACCCTCAAATCCCTATGACTGCATTGAACTCAAGTATGACGGAGCACTTCTGGATGCTGCAAGCATGGCTGCTGGGGTTTCATCCCCCAACTTCTCTTCACCAGCTCCGTGGCAGCAGCAGATTTTGTCCCAGCTAAATTTAGACGGAGAAGCTCCTCTTCTCAAGGTTTCTTGCTTCCCTCTTCACATAAATATATATATATATATATGTATTGTCCTTTCTCAACTGATGATATAAGGGTATGGATTGTATTCATCATGCATACCATTTCTTAAATCAAGCTTCCTTCTTGTGTGCACTTTCCCAATCTCAAAATTAGGAAAACACTTTTGTTTGATTCAGTTGCATTTTATGATGTGACTTTGATGGACCTTGAGCTTTGCATTACAACTTTCCATTACTTTCAGGCTCCATTTGGTTCACTGGAATGAGTGGGAATAGAATGAAATGATCATTTCTCATGCTCTCATATGGAATAATCATTCCCTTGAAATGGTGAATGATGATTTCATTTGTAATGCATTTTGTCACTATTTTGTTAGTCAACCAAATATTGGAATGAATATTTTGATGGAATGATCATCATTTCATTCCGTTTCATTCCAGTGAATCAAATACTACCTCAATATTTCATGACTCATCGCCCTTAAATTTATTTTTTATTTTTTCACTTTTCCCCTCCCCAAGTTCCCTATCAAATCCTCGATTGAAACTCAGCCTAAGCAAATATCCAAATTGCCAGAAGTCTCCTGCACTGCTCATTGCTCTGGATCGTTTCACAATTTTGTTTAAATTTTTTTTTACGGCATTCACCCTACTGCCTGCGTACTGTATTCTGAGTGACTGAGAGCCCTAGTGGCTTATGGCTTGTGCAGAAATTTGCCAACATCTCTAGAATGACTAGTCTCCGATCACTTTTCAGTCTTAACCTAAAAGTTGCAGGCTGCAAATGGCTTAAAACAGGTTAACGCTATGTCAAGAAAATTACCAGAATGAAAAAGAATGGTTGAGATTTAGTTGGTATATTGTAGGGTTCATGTATAGACTAAGGGGTTGTTTGGGATGACTTAAATAAGTGCACTTTTTGTCCTTTTTACGAAAAGATGTGCAGAAAAGTAGAAAGGTGATGTGATGAAAAAAAGATAAAAAGATGGATTATTTTTGGGTTGCCAAACTTGGCCTAAATCTGGATCATATTGATATTTCTGGTTAAAATTCTGGGTATGTAGTTGATGCAGGACGATTAGAGACATATGAGAGTTGTGATGCTGAGTTTTTGTGGTTTTTTGTTGTGGTTTCAAGATGAAAAGTAAAGGAAACTTTAGGGCTTCTATTAGTGTATGGCAGAATTAGGTTTAGGCTTAATGTAACAAGAAGGAAGAATGATTTTTGGGTTTGTTCTGGGTGCGGTGAACAGTACCCGTGAACAATAATTAGGCTGTGGAAGTGCTGAAATTTATGAAAGAAATAAAGGAAAAGAAGAAGATAGGTCTAGGCATCGAATATCGATTCCATAGGCATCACACCTAGGGTTAGGGTTGCATCACACAAATCAAAAGAGGTTTCAAAACTCTCAAAATTCTTTAAAATATTAATGCCATCAAATTATTAGCATTATATGACTTTATATAGACTAGGAGACTTCTTAAACCCACTAAAACCAAAAAATGAAACTATTAAAATATTTTTGACTTTTAAAACCAATTTAAAACATAAATATGAAATATAAATAAAATCTAATTAAATAACATGACCCACAAGATAATCCATACAAACCATACCCATAAATTCTGCAAATTACCACAATACACCTAACCTTAAAAATCCTAGAAAATATAAAAATAATAATAAAATGAGACTGATAATACTAGAAACATAATTATAGAAGATTTCTATTAATTTCTCTATGAAATCATACCAATGTTTAAGTATTATCATTTCTTTGAATTTTGCCTTCCTTTACCTTCTTATACTTTGCATCAATAGTATTGCTCATAAAAACAAGCTCCGAGTGGGGCTATGCTGGTTGCAGTTTGCCATTGCCTTCAGCAACATGGGCTTAGTATCAGACTGATCACCTTAATTTGAAAAGACATGAACTGCTTTCATGAAACATTACGTTTTGAAATTCAAAATTACAACCACATTTGATTAATTGTTTTCTTGTTTTCCCTCCCTAAAGGTGAGTATAGGCGGTCCCGAATTAGTGGAAGACCGGTTGTTGGCAGCGTTAAGAGTACTCCTTGCAGATGACATGGAAATGGTAAAGCATGATTTGAGTACGCTGAAGTCGTTATCAGTGGAAGCCCCTCTCGGAATATCAAATGAAGTTTCTGCTTTACGCACTGTTATTGCTTTATGCGTAATCGCACTTGGTCACTTCCCCACCAAAATAATGGAGGACGAATCCATATTGAAACAGAGGGTTTCGGTTTCAACAGAATTAGCCGTGCAGTTCAGAATACAGAAAAAGTCCACGATCATCGATGTGATGAGAGATCTCACTAGGAGGGTGAAATTACTCTTGTCAAAGGAATCGGTCAGTGCATGAGGTTAAGCTCCAATTCTGCCTGATGTAAGAGTCTACAAAAATACCCTTGATCATTCCTAGATGCCTCATTGTTGCCAAATGGTCCTTTACCGATCCCTCTTTTTTTTTTCTTTCTTTTTTTTCTTTTTTTTTTGCAGCTTGGTCATTATTGTTTTCTGGCATTATTGTATTTTTGTCTTCTTTTTGGAGTAAATTTTTTGAAGTTTTGGCTGTATTGTTTGGTTGCTGAGAACCCATGCTCATTTATGTTTTTCCATAGAAGTTACATATAAGTTTGTTTACTTATGTTGTGTTTGGTTGGGGAATTTGGAGAGGGATTTAAAAAAGAAAAGGGAAAAAGTGTGTGAAACTAAGTGAAATATAGACATGTTTTATTCATATTTTACTTACTTTTTTCATTTTCCTTTCTAAATCTTTTTCCAAATCTTCCAACCAAACACAGTATTAATAGGTAAATATTTGCACTCACTGATATGTTTTTTCTCTGTTTCTGCCCCATCTAATGTCACAACAACAATGATAGAGACTACTAATTTTGGAGCTCTAAAAAGACCATGACATGGCACTCAATAAAAAAAAAAAAAAATACAACACCAAGGTCAAAACATCAAATCATTCCTGGTGGAGTCCACTGCCACATCATTAGTGATAGCACTAATTAGTGTTCTTACTCATTTTTCAATGTCACAACTACATAAATAATGTCACAACTACATAAATGATGGCACGGAATTACTTGGAAACAAACACCCAACTCAGAGAGGACACTACCTAGAAATTTGCATAGGTAACGTTTGTTTGGTATAACTGTTTTCGAAATTAGTTTCAAGAAAAGTTTCTAAAAACAATTTACTTTAGGGAAGATCAAAGGTTGTTTTCAAATTATCCCAAACTAGTTTCATACCACAACACATACACAAATAAACAAATGTTCTAGAACATTTTTATAGTTTTAAATTCCAAAAATGCAAAAAGAGAATAGAAAGCAAAATCCCAACTAAATATGATTATATTACTCCCTCCGTCCCAAAATATTAGTCCCTTATTCCATTTTTCATTGTCCCAAAATATTAGTCCCTCTTCAAAAATCAAGTACAAAAATAATGTGAATTTCCTATTTTGTCCTTTTAAATTAATAAATAATGTAAAAAGTACAATTATGACATTGATATTTCCAAAAAATATACTATCAAAAGGGTAATTTTGGAAAATTAACTTTTTTCAAATACAATAATTGTACTACCAAAAAAAGTTGAATTCCCCAAAAGGGACCATTATTTTGGGACAGAGGGAGTATTTTAAGATTACTTTGCCACGGTATAGATGACCCTCAATTGTGTGGATAAGTGAAAACATTTGTCCCTTTTTCAAATTTTGAAATCTTGGTTACAAAAACACCTCTTTCCAATTTTTAAATATTATTTTTTTAACACGAGTCTAAATTACACTAAATAATTTGATATAAAATTTTAAAATAAAAAAATTATTAATTTCATCAAACAACTCTTTTGTAAGTTATGACTATAGTGAAATCAATCATGGTTCAAATCTAAATATAATTGCATGATTATGTGTAACACGAGTGAATCTATTATCATAAACACAAATCTTTTCAAAATGTTTTCGTGATACATATCACATAGTGAAAAATGTGAAATAAATGAGAAATGAAAAAATAAATTGAAAAATTAATACAAAATATTTTCAAGATACTTATTAAATAAGGAAAAATATGAGATAAATGAGAAATGAAAAAAAAAAAATTTGAAAATTGAAAATGATGATGGAAGTTTTAAAACGTTTCTAGTGATCTGCAATAAATTTTTTCACTTTCCATTTATTTGGGTATTGTCCCGTGAAATAATATTGGATATGCTCAACAAATCAAATCGTAGAAAATTTCAAAATTTTTCCATTTTGAGATTTTTAGATTGAAAACATGAATTTTCTCAGTAGAAGAAAGAAATAACATCTCATCCCTTTCTGCAAAATTGGAAGCCATGAAAACAGAGGTTACAGACTCCAAGCCATCAAACACTGAGAGAAGACTTTGCAAATCGAAATTATTCAACTAAAAAAGTCCTCATCATCTCCTACATCAAAGTATATACATCTGAAAGATAGAACCCAAAACACACAAGAAAGAACAAAAAAAACCTATATCTATAATTCTAAGGATTAATTTCACTTTTATCTTCTAAATTATTTGTCATTTTTTTTTTCTATTTTATCTCTAAACTATCAATTTCTTCTATTTATTTAGTCCAGTTGTTTCTTCTATTGAAATCAGAAACAACAGGACTAAATAAATGAAATTAATAATTTAGAAATACAATAGAAAAAAAAAATGAAAATAATATAAGAGATAAAAGTGAAACTAACCATGATTCTGAAACATCCGTCTTCTACCAGAATTGGTGATGATCTTCTTCTATGAATTGCCTACTGAGATGGGTGTCGCCGCCAATCCCAGAGGCGAGCGAGAGCAGCTTCGCCTCCTCTGATGCTGCTGCTGCCGGGTGATATCGCGAAGAACAGGTCTTATCTCTGATTGCTGCAATGATGGTTGCTTGATCTTCTCCATTTCTTGCCTGATCTTCTTCACTTGGCTATGAATTGCCACACCCAAGTACCCATCTTCTTTCATGTCATGTTTGGTGGTGGTGGTGGTGATCATTTTCTGATCCATTCCAAGTTTCATAGGGAGAATTTCCACACTTTGTGCACCTAACACCTATAACTCTGTTTTTATGAGGAGTTCCAAATGAATGGACATCTATTTATATTTATGTGTGTGGGAAGGAAATCAAAAATGTGATGGACCATGATATATCTACCTAGATTGTTTTGGGTGGAGCGAATGTATTGCGAAAATTGAATTAGTGCGGTATGAATTCAACATATATGAAAAAAGGGTTTGGCTTTGGTCTAATCGGAGATCGAACTGTACGGTTTTGTTAGGCTTTTGGGACTCATCACGGGTCCTATTTTGATAATTCGAACCGTTTCAATGTGTAGAACTCGTCGAGTACTATATGCTTGTAAAAAATCACGTTGATCGGATATCGATAGCTATGTGATCAAATTAGTTTTGTATTAAAAAAAAAAAGATAGTGAACAAATTAACGATTGACAAAAAACTATTTTGATCACATAGCTATTGATATCCAATTAACGTGATTTTTTACAGACATATAGTACTCGACGAGTTCTACATATTGATC